CTTCTGGTATTCTACTGGGTTCTCGATCATGTCTAAATACACGGTTGTGTTTATATGTAAACATAATATGAGATAGCTCGTTTGATATAGCTGGTTTCGTTTGATATTTCTCGATAGAAGGTTCACTCGTAAAGGATCGCTTGTAAACTGATCTTTTGTAAAGTTCGCAGACTGGCCCATTCCAAAACGCTCCAATAGCCATCAAATTTCTTTGCTCTCTTCATCAAGTGAGGAACTTTCCACGAAGGCGGCCGTTACTTTAAACCACGCTCTCTAGGGTTCATTCTACGCATGCGCATACATTTCATGCATGCGCTGTAGTTGAACTGCGTTTTGTGACTGGACGCAAAAAAAAAAATGGAGTCGAATTTATACCTCGGGTGTTTCCTTCAGATTAAGGCCGAGTAATTATTCTGGTACAAGGTTTTTGTCCACTAGAAGTTGAAATTGCTCAGTTTCCTATTGGATTTCCTCTTTAAAAACACTATTCAAAGGCAAACTAGTTATTTTGGAAGCCACTCGCAAGTGATTTTAGATAGTGTTTACATTTAGAGCGTTTAAGTTAGTTGGGGTGTGTGTCCATTTCATGCATGCTCTAATTCACGGAAAATGACGATCGAATCAATGACATCAAAAATTGTAGGGTTTAGATTTTCCTACACATCATTCGTTTACCTTATAAGTAATGGAATGTACACATTGTAGCACATCATTTGTGTCAACCAAAGCATCAATTCATTCCACATTTTATATTGTGTAACAATTTGTTTCAATTTCTGCCCATTAGAATTTATGTCTTGGCTCCGAGAATTATAACAAATTTTCCACAATACGACATCGTTGTCCGTAATTGGTGCTATGTGCTCCACAAATGAACCTTAAAACGTGGTAAGGCATCCTTTGCATTATAAAGCTGATACTTCACTGGTATTGTTCAACCGAGATTCACATACTAACTTTTGATCTTGAAAAAGCAACAACAGGGTATCCACAAACACTGTTCAACTGTATTTCTAACAATGCAAGTACAATGTAAGTAAAATGCAAGTACAATGCAAGCGCAATACAGTCTTTTTCAGTTTCTAAATGTTTCTGACAATCCCTAACAATATGTCTCACTTAAAAGTGTTGCCTTCATCAATCCGTTCAAGCCCATATAAATGCTGGCTAGCGAGATATTGACTTGCGAAAGTACAATTACTCCTTTCGTTGTATAAGGCAATGCGCGCCGAACATTCAGGCTGATAAATTTTAGCTTGCGAAAGCATACCAGCCCCTGTGCAATCTGTACTAACCACAACCCGAGTCTTAATATGATGGCTTGTGTGAGCACAATAACTCCCGATATGGAGACCTGAAGGAATGATGAAAGAAAGCAATCAATAAACAATACAACTGCAATCAATATTTTTAAAGCTTACACGACAGTAGGAAGCTGGATTTTCCATAAATGAAAACAGACAACGTACCGCATCGGCAAAGCAAGCTACAAAAAAAACCTACCTTGGCAACTGAGAGCTTGGAAAATAAAAATGAAGTATCTTAAAACAGATAAATGGTACACAAAAGTGAAGCAGCCAACACAAAGGATGCAGAAAATCCACTCGCACAAGCCAACTAGCACCCAATCTTCTTATATATAGGATCTAAACTAGTTTTCAGTCATCTTAGTAAAATTCCTTTTGATCACATGACTCTCGTAAACAGACAAACTTTTAGCTGCCAACTTAGTGTGAGCTTTGCACACAATAGAAATACAGCAAATGAAATATAGCAATTAATATCCCAAAGCCAAGGCGATTCAAAGTCGTGTTTGTGAACATATAAGATAAATAATTGTCTTAGTTATGTCACAAAAGCAGTCATCTCGCATCCCGATGAAACAGGCCACGTTTGTGATGATTTGCATGGCACAGAATCATAACTGCAAATGAGCGAATGATTGAAAACTCAAGACTGACTCGTAAGCATGTTGTTTGCGATCATGTCATTTATGTTCGTTCCTGGTGCATTCTGTGGGGAGGCCAATTTTGTGTCCCAAAACTCATCCATCCATTCCTTATCCCAAAAAATCTCACTCCAGTCCGCATTAGGACTGCCTTCTTTTTTTGTCGAACGCAATTATTCATGCTAAAGTTCAAGCGTAATTTTAATATTGTATTTGGCGATGGGTGTGTAGCCTGCAGACACAGATGGATTTCTGGCATTTGTTTCACGCTGACCTACACTGTGGAATGCATGGGGATTGTAAAAGGAGATCCACCGGGAACCCATCCACGTACATAGCTGGTTGCACATAGTCAACTGCACGAGAAAATGGCTTGAAAACACAGGGAAACAGAAAGGAGTGTGAAGGGAGAATACCTCATGATCAATGTAGCAAGGCCAGGAATTCCTGGACGCGAAAGGACTGAAGAAAAACTATCCAATCGATGCCCTAGTTGTATCCCTAAGTAGCCGAGGAAACATATTTCCCAGAATTATGGATATAGTGTTCCTATCTATTGGTTTAAGAAAAAGAAAAGAAAAGTCGCACAGCATACTTTACTGGCCTTATCCTACCACACCTAGATTATGCAGATATTGTCTGGGGAGATAAGCCTGGTCTAACAACACAGATGAAACAGTTGCAATCATTACAAAATCGCTTTGCAAAAAAGATTGCAAAGGCAAAAGGGGGTCAAAAAGACATCAACTGAGACCCTGAAATCGTTGCAGTGGGTCCCATTACATGTGAGGCGTTTTGGTCATCAGTGTTGTCTTGTGCAAGATGCAATGAAGAGAGAGATCCCCCAACATTTTGATGCATTCAGATCTACAATGAGCCAACAACTCGGTTGTAATACCTGATATGGTTACATGCCCAAATTTATGGGGCAGAAAGAAAACTTATTATAAAACAATCACCGATTGGACCTCACTGCCAAGTGAGCTCAAGGAACTTGTGCCAAAAATGATTTTTTAAGCACAAACTTACATAGTTTTTATTAAACCATTTTAAACCTTAGTTAATATTATTTTTGAGTAATTTTTTTTGTAAAAAAATACCTCTTAGTCAATGGGTATGGGACTATGTTATGAGTGGATGAGTTAGAGATGTATGCATGTCACACCTGAATCACATCAGGGCTGCTATACACAACAAATCAAATTGCTGCTTGTATAGGTAAATCATGTATGTGGAGATTTCATCCCGGTTTTAGAACGGTCATCTTTGTTTTTCTACAAACAGAAACAGGTATTCTTGTATTGGCCTTATTCTGACATTTCCGATGCTGAGTTTAAGCTTACTTGTAAAAGTACAACTTAATATTGCATTAGGAAGCTTGAGTAAATGGTCTTTAGAGCATCTAGTTATCATGTGACCCGTCAGGCCCCGCGCGCTTTATCCTTGGAAAACAACAAGAAAAAAAAGTCCCGTGTGAGGGCCGTAAAAGTAACAAGTCAAAGTATTAGGGCTGGACGTAACTAGAAAAGCGTACGGCACTGCAAAATCTATGTGAGTTAATAGACACAATTTAAGCACACAAAATTTTGTTTTGTTCAAAATGGTAATGGAAGTGAACATTCTGACAGCTAATTTTACTATCCTGGCAAACTGTGCAATTGAGAACTACTTCAGTCGCCAACTTACTCTGAAAGCACAGAAAGAAAGTCGACATTACTCACAAATGAAGAAATTCCCAACTTTATCGGAAGCTAACAACATATTGGGCATATGCTAAAGTGCTTATTGACTGAGCGAGGTCGGGCCGGACGTGACCTTAATGCGTTCCGTACGTGCTAACCTCAAGCCGAATATTTCAGTCTGGCCCTCACTCTGTCAATAAGTGCATATGTTTATTAGATTAAATTTTGCATGAGACATAGGTAGCATCTACCTCGTCAATATGATGCACAATATGGTTATCACATATGTATGATGAGATTCAAGTCCTCCCAGTAACTCCCTTCATACCTTGGATGTAAACAGCCTGTTCTGTAGTAGAAACATTCCTCACTATCCCGAGTGCATGCCATGGATCTATGGAGCCATTTGGAAAAACAATCTGCAATAAGCAAGATTTGTGAAAATAAAAACAGAACATTCTACCCATATATGTACCTACTAATTTTGATACCGTAAACTGCCGCTTGTAAGCCCTGGGCTTATACAACTTCGTAAGGGCTTTAGGTGGGCTTATAAACGGAGGGGCTAATATTCGAGGGGGCTTATAACCGGAATAAAAAAACTGTCTCAAAACGAGCTACACATGTTGATCAAAACAGGTTTTTCATCTACTGGTAATTAAGCTTGAAAACATCATAATGACAAAACGGATTCAAAACAAGGAAAGCTAGAGGGGGGCTTATATGGGTACATGAGCCTATAACCAGGGGGGCACTTTACATGGGCCAACACCATCATGGGTGCCAACTGATTTTGAATTCATCCTTCAACCCTTTGACAAGCCAGTTGCCCCCTTTGGTATCAGCGAAAGAAATTACTATTCGTTAACCAAACTACTCAGAGTGAGTGCTTAAGATCTGTGATTTATCCGAAAACTACAGAAGAGTATAATCAAAGGACAGCTAACATCAGAGGAAATAAGCCAAGCAAAGGTCATGTTGGAGAAGTATGTCCAAAAGAGTGCGTTCACACCAGAAATCAATGCGGTCAAAGATAATTCAAGAAACAATCTGAAGATCCAATTAGGCCTGCAGCTGGACGAAAACAGAGTACTAAGGTGCCATGGTAGATTGATCAGTGAAAACCTCCAAGAACATACTGTGTTCCCAAAACTCCTTCCAAGGAACCACGTCTTTACAAGCTTAATCGTCAAGAGCTTCCACGAAAAGTTGATGCATGCAGGTGTATCTCACACATTAGCAGCTATCAGAAGAGAATTCTGGATACAAGGAAGATCATCTTTAAGAAGAGTTCTACTAAGCTGCTTGAGATGCAGACGACATCAAGGAAGAACATACAGAATGCCCACAATGGCTCCTTATCCACGATCAAGAATAGAAGAATCACTCCCCTTTACCTACACTGGTCTTGACTATCTTGTATGTGAAAGTCAGTCTGCCATCAGCAACCCAAAAAGTCTGGTTGTGTCTGTTTACTTGTTTAGCTGTTAGGGCTATCCACTCAGAAGTCACATGACATCCAAACAACTCCTGTTATGCCTAGCAAGATTTGTTTCCACACGTGGAAAACTGAAACAGATAATTTCTGACAATGCTTCCCAGTTGAGTTCAAAGTAGTAAAGTCAACTGTTGAGGAAGCATGGCAACTCTATGACAAGTCCTGACACACAAAGATACCTGGCCAATGAAGCCATAAAGTGGAACTTCATCATTGAACTGGCCCCCTGGATGGGTGGTTTTAATGAAAGACTTAACGGAGTTGTAAAGCAGTCTCTTCGAAAGAGTATTGGAAAGATTTGTCTCATTATGGTTCAACTGGAAATCATTGTAAAAGAAGTCGAAGCAGTTGTGAATTCCTGGCCATTGGTCTATGTAGGAGCTGACTTCAGCTCTGGATTCACACTCATCCCAGGAAATCTCCTCAGCCTAAACCCCAAAACTGGCATACCATCCTTAGTAGAAGATCGACAACAAGACCCAGATTTCCATAGCGAGTTGAGTTCTTCACAAAAACTCCTTGACATGTGGCCTAAAGGTCAGAAAGATCTTGACGTGTTTTGGAAGCTATGGTTTGAAGAGTATGTACTGAGTTTGCGTGAACGGACCCAAAAACACTTAAAAGCTCCCAGGACACAATCCTCAACCCAAACTACTACATGTAAGGGAGATGTTGTACTTCTAAAGGAAAATTCGCCACGAGGTACCTAGAAGTTAGCCGTTGTAGAGGAACTCATTTCAAGTACAGCTGTACAAGTCAAGTACAGGTGAGTTTTAAAGAGAAGTTGCTCAATTTAACACCGAATTTAAATCTCTAAACATGTCCTGGCTGTGTTTCAGGTAGGCTCAATTTCCGCCGCTCTCTCGAACTCCTTTCCCGAACAGCGACTGGTAATCGAGCTTATGTTTCAGGCCGCGACAACACAACATCGAGAAGGATGATTCCTATTTACATCACAGTGAACTTTGCATGAAACTGCATGAGTTTTCGCTTGAAAATTCGCTTCGAACTTCTGAGTAGAACAAATAATCGCTTGAAAGTTCACAGTATATTACCGCACACCGCGAACTATTGCATGAAAGTTCATGCGGATCAAAACAATAGACGTCACGAAAATGCGGCGAAATATCGCGAATTGTCGAAGAGATTACTTTTCATGCGAAATTTCCTCAAAAAGCCACGAAAAGTGCGAATTTTGCCAACGTTCGTTTGCATTACTTTTTCACAATACTGTAAGGGAGATGTTGTACTTCTAAAGAAAAATTTGCAATGAGGTACCTAGAAGTTAGCCGTTGTAGAGGAACTCATTTCAAGTACAGCCGGGGAAATCAGAGCAGGTGCAGTCTGCACAGCATCAGGAAAGTTACTAAACCGTACACTCAACTTCCTGTTCCCGCTGGAATGTGCTGAACAAAGAGAGGCCCCAGTCCAGCTCAGCCAAAGTGAGGATGACCAGTATGATGCTCGGAGCGAGAATCTTCCTCCATGTTATAAAATCAGTCGTTGTTAATGAATAAAGAAAATTGTGTTTGTGATGCGAACAGTCTATTATGGAACTCTTGCATTTGCACAGGATTATGGAGGTCCTGAATCCACCTAACGTCTTTAATCCCTTAAGCGTATCCGTTCACTCCAAAGGTAAAAAGAGCCTTATCCTTGATCTTCGCTACATTAATAAATTTATTGTTAAACAAAGGGTTAAGTATGAGGACTGGAAGATTGCTTTATCTCATGTTCAAAAGGGGGCTTACATGATTAGGTTTGACCTTATGAGTGGCTACCATCATATAGATATTCACCCAAACTTAGAGTTTGCATGGAGATTCCCAGGTGAAAACGTATTGTGCTATTTTTACTGCTCTACCATTTGGGCTGTTTTCAGCCCCATATATTCACAAAATGGCTCAAGAGCTGCTCGAGAAATGCTGGAGGATTAATTAGGTAAATATTGCATTATTTCTCGATGATGGTTGGCTGACCGACATTGATCAAGGTTCCTGTTCTATCTTAGCTAAAAATAATTTGTCTGATTTGAGAAATGCAGAGTTTGTTACAAATATTCTTGGTGATCGTTTTGTCTCTGTGACAGTTATCTTCCCTTGTAGGTAAAATTATCCCTGTTGGGGCAGTTTTTGGTAATATCTCTAGGATTATGGCCAGGTACTGTTCCACATCTGTCACGTCTGTGCAGGACTGGCTTAGATCAATATTGTACAAGGGAACTTGATTTTTGGAAGGTTACTTCAGATCGGTTGAAAATTAAATTAGTTACAATTTGTTCATCTAAAACTTCTAATTATGTTGTTTATTCGGATGCAAGTGCGACAGGGTGCGGGGCTCACCTCGATGTTAATGGTGAGCAAGTATGTCATAAGCTATGGGATGTGGAAGAACGTGGTAAAAGTTCCACATGGAGGGAGAAGTCTGTTATTGTTTGCCCTGCAGTCGTTCTTATGTTAACTGGTTTTCTGATAGTCTATATGCATGCAAAATTGTACAGATGGGGAGCACGAAAAGTGATTTGCAAGTTATTGTTTTGGAAATTGTTCAGTTTTGTGCTGATAATAGTATTGGGTTGGAACTTTCACTGGATCCCTCGTACTGAAATTGACAGAGCTGATTATATTAGTCGCCTATGATGTGGATGACCCAAGGTGGCCTGAGGTCATGATGTGAGGAGTTATTATTTATTTTTTACTTTGATGTACACATTCAGTGAAACTTGACACAATTTATATAGTTCTCAATGTGCAATGTACTTTGCTCCACTGTCTAAACACAATCTTTCAGCACCCTAGTACAGAAAACTTATTTCAAATAATGTTATAACTTCTTTGCTACCGATAAGTGGACAGTTATAAGACCAAATTTGACAAAAAATTGTGTTGAGAACTGTGCGCTTCCTTCCCCTGGCCAGGGTCAATTTGTTTGCCCGGCATTCTGCTCGGGCTTCGAATGTGTCGAGGCGGGTCCTGGCAGCATAATTACTAAGTGCGGATGACTGGCTGGCTTTGATTCAGAGCTTTGTAGCGTACGCTATGGAGATGAGTTTGGCTTGGAATTTAACTGAAAGGGAACGCTTAACTCTCTACTACTATTCTGCATAGGAATTGGGGTGGCTGGCATGCTTTTGATCAAGGTTTTTTTGGCTTCAAGCAGCAGGCAGTCCAGAATTGAGTGTTTAGCCTTTACTTCTTCTTAGGAGTGGAAAACCAAAAATCCATAACTCACTTAAACACGGAGCGATCCTACCATAGGTAAGGACAAGCCACCTTTGAAGCACTTTGTTGGCTTTTTTGTGCAATGGTGGTTAAGCCAAAATAACGGTCGCAGAGCAGAGGTTGTGGAGAAATAGCATTTTTTCGCTAAAACAACGGAGTCATTTATGTAGAATAACATAAGGGAAATAGTAAAGATACAGTGAAAATAAAACTTATATTTACACTTTAGAAGATGCCTTTGGAAGAACAAAAATGATGAATGATCTTTGTCACTTTAATAATTTCACAGAACATTCAAATTTTGTTGCTAACTAAAATAACAAACCTGATGCCTGCGATCAACAAGCCATCTGTTTCTATTTATCTTAGCATGCCCAGAATGAAAACAAATCTCCTAAGAGGTGATTTTGGAGAGCCTGTGAACACAGTCAGACGGATTTTGGTGGGATATTTAAAATTATTCAGGTTTATGAGGGTAATGATGGTGCAAACAAATTGCAAACTGAACAACGCTGAGTTATTCCTCAACTGTTCTATATTCAGAGCAAAGAAATTGGAAACAAAAAGTACTATGAAGAAACAAGAGAACTTGAAAAATGGCAATGTGAGATTTTGCCTAAATATTGACGTTAGAAAGGAGAAGGGAAAACTCATGGCTGAATGCAACAAAAAAAATTGCGTGTGTTCGTAAAGGGTCGAC